CTGAATTGCACAAAACGCATGATCGCACCGGCTAGTCTGGTGCGCGTTGCCATTTATTTATTTTTTGAATGAGTTTAAATAAAAGACCCCACGAGCCGTTTAGACCCTGTAGGCGAAAGGAAGTAGGAACCAGTAAGAGCTGCACCGGTACTGGATGACTTTGAATAGGCCGTCCATAAGACGGCGTTGTTCCAAAATCCGGCAACCATTTTATTCGATTGGAAGGGAAATAAAATAAGGTAAAGAAGATAGTCGTGTTGCACATGTACAAAAAACAGTAATGACAATTAACTCAAAAATGAAAAATAATGAAATTTCTCTCTTCCAACATGCTTCGCTATGTTTGATGCGTTTATCTGAAATACACGGGATAGCTGTTTTTTCATAATGTTTTTCTCCATAGTTCTATTTTAAAGTTTTTCCAGTCACTTAGACCAATGCTACATCGCCTGGTGGACGGCTTGCTGATGAACCTGTGATTCGTTTCGTTCCATGAGAAATTCCTCATTACCCAGCTGAACCGTTTTAATTCTTTCGAGATACCTTGGGGTATGTTGAAATCACTAACTCGTCCGGATTTTGTCACTTTTAAATCACAACGGGATATCTTATCGTCTGGACAGTCTAGGCTTAAATTAAAGTTTATTCTTAGGCTTCTAACATTCATTTTTTTTTTTTTTGATTTTTTGCTACTTTATTTTTTTACTAGCTTCTGTAAGGGAAATATTCAAAATTGATATTCAGGACGAACTGCTTTCGTACGAGCTATCACCGCGAGGCCTTCGAGCATCACGTTATCAGCGTGCATTTCTTGCCGTTTGTCTTTTTTTCGAACCTGCCCTGCTGCACTCCGATCATGTTGTTATGCGTCAAATTGTCGATACATTTTTTACCGAAGATTGGGTATGTTGTTTTGGAATGAAAAATGAAAATTTCTGCATTTCTAGAGGTACCTTTTTTTAAATAATTTTAGCCAATGCTGCATGTCTTGATGGTTGTCCTGCTAGCGATCCTGGCATTTTTTTGCCTGTTTCATCTCCTGAAGGGATTGCTAGCTCAACGATTTACTCAGTGTAAGAGTTTGGAAAGAGATGTACAAACTTTAAGAGTTTGGCAAGAGACCTGGACCGAAACATTTCTTACCATTAAAAAGATTAAAAATATTTTCCTTTCTCACTTTGTTTGCTCCTTCACTCATATCTATTTCTTCCTGTCATCTGTCTTGCAAAATTAGACACATGACTATTCAAAACATGGCGGGCAAGAGGCTGTACTGATGATTCCCACTCCTACCCGCATGCACTGTTCGGTCTGTGTATACAGTTAAGGGATGAAATACAGACTGCGTCATAAAACGTCTTTAAACACATGACATTCAAGTGAAATCCTTCTATTCTTCTATTTCAACATTTTATTAATTCTTCTTTTAACATAAAAACTTTTGTTTTATTTATCTTATTGTGTACATTGTCTGTTGAGCATCAGCGAGTCCAGGGCGTTTCCACTCCCGGAATATGATGAGGCACCATGGCAGACCACAAAATATGCTTGAATTTTGTCCTAAAATTATTATACGCATTTAATTTTTAGGTTGTACATTTGCATATGGGTTTGCTAATGAATGTTTTTGATGCATGGGATCGTTGTAAAGCAGCGGCAGGTGCATTGCAACGTGCACTAAATGTACAGATTGTGAAACGCCTAGCCTCAAGCCATGTATCCGCGCTGAGTACCATATCATTCCCGCAAACTGCCAAATTATCGGAAGCAGATCTCATCTCCTATGCAACGCTAATCGCCGTCAGCAACAGACATCTCGAATGGATCATGCTTCATGCTTGTCAGTTTGATTCTTTTATTCGCCAGAAAGTGCAATGAGACGTAATCCGTGCAGCCTCCAGGATGCATAAGAAAGTTTATCTTCGCAAATTCGCTGCTTGAGGCTTAAAATTTGTAGCTGTCAAACAGAGGATGATAAAGAATTAAGAATCGTTGTTTAAGCGGCTAAAAAGTGCTGTTGAAAAATCCGAAAATTTGCAAAATTTGTGAAAAAAATAGTGCAAACAACACTAATGGAAAATTTACAGTTTCCTTCTTCAAGATGAATAATCTGCTTCGAGATTTTTTTTTGAGTAAATTTTTATGAAGTGTTATCAGATCATTATCAGTTTGCTGAAATAAGTAGGGAGAATTCCGGCCGTTTTTTTTTTTTTTTTTTTTTTTTTTTGTCTCCACAAGTTAATGGAAATATAGGTGCAGTTTTGTTTTCATTGTAACCTTCTAAAAGTGAGTTTTGAAAATTCTCTGAGGGCATTTTACAGACAAATCGGACAAGTGTTGCAAACGTGCCGGTCAACTTTTTGAAGCAGTAAATAGCCAGATATCGTCTACTTCTTTTGATCTGTTCCAGTGTTTACTGGCAATTTCCACCTTCGAATACGGCTACAAGGAAGTAAGATTTCACCCATTTTTTTAACAACACTTTTTTGGATTTTTTTACATTTCTGCAAAATTGACCTTCTGTCCCTACTTGGATTAGCTGTACTTGTCTATCAATACATCGGATTTTACAGCGCTTCCGCAAGATAAACTGTAGGGCAAAACTACTGGTAGCATCGACAGTTTACATCAGTGAATAAGTAAAGTAAGAAGAAGAAAACATAGCTTATTCTTATAATTCTTGCACTGAAAACCTCGAAGACTTTGCGCAGGAAAAGTATGCCCTAGGCTGGATTTTTTTTTCTTCATCCTGAAGATTGATGCTTTAATTATACTTTCTAGTTGCTTTGTGTAAATGCTTTGTTCAAGCTTACAGTTTAGGTCTCGATCTTAAGCAACGCTGCATTTGTGAATGTTTTCAAAATTTCCAGATTGCTCGATCGCTTTTGGACAACAAAGAAACGAACGTGAAAAAATTGAAAGAAGAATTGTGCCAACATATCACCCAAATGGCTGAACTTTTTGCCAGCGAACAACCTTTACAAAAAATCAAAAAAAATGGTACCCCTTATGAATTAATGTTTTTATCATTATCATCATTTCCATTAATATTACTATAATATTTTTATTATTGTTGACATCACTGTCATAATTATAGTTTCATCATCACTACTGTTATTGTCACACAGTTATCATTATTTAGTTATTTATCACCGTCAGCATCGCCGACATTCTTGTTTCCGTATTGTTTGTATTATTATTATTATTATTATTATTATTATTATTATTATTATTATTGTTATTATTGTTATTATTAT